TATTTTGTTCACAACGTGATACACTTTTTCTTTTGTTATTTAGTCATTTGTTCACGTTCCATATTATTAAGGTGTAGCAGCAGTCTCTGCATCAGTAGGCCTCAACATACACAAAGGGAAAACCAAGGTCCTCAAATTCAAGGCGGAGAACAGCAATCCAATCACTCTTGATGGCGAAACTCTGGAAGATGTAGAATCCTTCACATAATTGGGAAGCATCGTCGATGAACAAGAAGGTTCAGATGCAGATGTAAAGGCAAGGACTGGCAAAACAAGGGCCGCATTCCTACAATTGAAGAACATATGGAACTCAAAACAACTATCTGTCAACCAATATCAAAGTGAGAATCTTCAATACAAACGTCAAGACAGTTCTACTGTACGGAGCTGAAACTTGGAGAACTACTACAACCATCATCAAGAATGTACAAGTATTTATAAATAGTTGTCTACGCAAGATACTCAACATCCATTGGCCGGATACCATCAGCAACAAACCAGCATCCATCTGAAGAAGAAACTAAGAAAAGACGATGGAAATGGATAGAACATACATTACACAAGTCATCAAATTGCATCACGAGGCAAGCCCTGACTTGGAATCCTGAAGTGAAGCGGAAAAGAGGAAGGCCAAAGAACACATTACATCGGGAAATAGAAGCAGATATGAAAAGGATGAATTACAACTGGACGGAGCTAGAAAGGATTGGCCAGGACAGGGTTGGATGGAGAATGCTGGTGAGTGGCCTATGCTCCTTCACGAGGAGTAACAGTCGTAAGTAAGTAAGTATGGAAAGGATGAATAACTACTTTTTACTTACGCCTGTTACTCCTCGTGAAGGAGCATAGGCCACTCACCAGCATTCTCCATCCAACCCTGTCCTGGCCAATCCTTTCTAGCTCCGTCCAGTTGTAATTCATCCTTTTCATATCTGCTTCTATTTCCCGATGTAATGTGTTCTTTGGCCTTCCTCTTTTCCGCTTCACTTCAGGATTCCAAGTCAGGGCTTGCCTCGTGATGCAATTTGATGACTTGTGTAATGTATGTTCTATCCATTTCCATCGTCTTTTCTTAGTTTCTTCTTCAGATGGATGCTGGTTTGTTGCTGATGGTATCCGGCCAATGGATGTTGAGTATCTTGCGTAGACAACTATTTATAAATACTTGTACATTCTTGATGATGGTTGTAGTAGTTCTCCAAGTTTCAGCTCCGTACAGTAGAACTGTCTTGACGTTTGTATTGAAGATTCTCACTTTGATATTGGTTGACAGATAGTTGTTTTGAGTTCCATATGTTCTTCAATTGTAGGAATGCGGCCCTTGTTTTGCCAGTCCTTGCCTTTACATCTGCATCTGAACCTTCTTGTTCATCGACGATGCTTCCCAATTATGTGAAGGATTCTACATCTTCCAGAGTTTCGCCATCAAGAGTGATTGGACTGCTGTTCTCCGTTTTGAATCAGTGTTACATAATCGGAAATAGGTCAATGATTAGAAAAAATAAAGACACTGAAATAACATTCATAGAAAGATTATTAGATTACGTAGTAAGAGGTGTTCAGATAATTGGACCGTGAAGCGTATATTTGAGAAAAGAAAAAGATGCCAGGGAATGAAGAAGTATGGAATTCACAAACTGACATTGATAATTATTATCAGTCAATGTCGTCTCGTACTCTTTAGTTCTAAACAGTTCTTCAATTAAATGTCTAAGTTCATTTCAACTAATACACTTGTCATCACACTATCGATTTGTATTCTAGTACCACTGTTATCAATGACTCAAAAGTTGCCTTGATTTAGTCCACTAAGATCGTTATATGCATATAAATATTACTGTATATTAGAGTAAAACCTGATGAGGATCTAATCGAAAACATTTTTGTTCTCTTATTTCTATGTTTGTTAAGTTTGTTTTACATTGTTCCTGCTCATTCCCTTTCTACTCTTCTGTATATTGTTTTATACTACTCATTTACATTCAGTAAGCAGTCGTATGCCTAACAATTTTCAAACTTACATTGCAACGCGAGTTGTTCTGTAATATTCTGAATTGTTCACATATACTTATAACGTTTATTGTACTTATCATTGTATTTATCATTATAATTACTGTATCTTAATCACTGCAACCGTTATCCACAGTTTCGTGCATTTGTTTACACGCAACAGTTTCCATATTGCTTTGCCCTCGGTTCGAGTTTCGATTGCTCATAAACTGTTATCCAATTTAGACACAGCTATCGGCTGTCTTCGTACTATCGTATGTTATAATTATTCTTTATGTTACTCTTACAGGAAGCCTTTGTTATTTTCATTCTTGAAGGACGCATTTAAACACCTAGACACCTCACAAGTTGAGGTTTGTAACTAAATTTCGTGTATTATTTAATAAAGAACCGCTTTTGTAGACAAATCGTTGTTTTGGAACTTCGATTTTGCACGTATCTCAATCGGGTTACTTGGACGCTTCGATAGAATTAACAATGTTGTTCGAAATTTTGTAGAGGCAAATTATTGTTTCCATTGTTAAAAGATTACAATTATCAGTATTGTGAGAACTCGATGACTTGAATCGATGACTAATGAGAACAATATCGTTAACGATATTAAAAATTCACTATTTTTCCTCTTATTATCATTGTTACTTGACATACCACCTGAGTATTCTTTCCATCAGTATGTTCTTATGATCATTCCTATCAATATAGTACTCATTTTTACATCTTATTACTTCATAACTTATCTATCACCCTCATATCAGGTACGATATTTTATCTAACCAATTCATTCTTCATTTTCATGACCTAATTGTATACTATTAAGGATTAAAGTTTATTATTCTTGTCAGTTTATTTCACATAGAATAGCTTAATAAAAGCATTTACTCTGTCCATTTGTTAATATATATGTATATTATATAAGTATATTTTAACCTCCAAGTTGACTTTACGCTTCATCAACTGTAAACAAAGAGTACTAAAAACGTGATCTCATGAAAAGAAGAAAAAAATAGTCATATTACAACAACCATTTTATTTCTCTGAAAATATTGCTCCCTTTTCTTTTTTACTAAGGACTATTATTTTGACAAATTTATTTATTGATTGAAATTATGAGTCTATTTAAGCTAGACCACCATTGAAAATCTGGAAGCACTGGACGACTGTTTCGTCTTATTGTCGGACTCTTAATCCATGTCGGGTAAGGACAGTTATCTACTACAGTACAATGGAAGATGGTCTCGCAGTCTCGTGGATTGGTTAAGGTTAAACATTTACACCATGGAATGCCGACTCACTGGTCCAGTAGGTAAAGCGTTCGCGCGCGAGAATGATCGGTCCTGGGTTCGAGTCCCACAAGGCAGGATCGTGGATGCGTACTGCTGCAGAGTCCCACAATTGGACGAAACGGCCGTCTGTTGCTTCCAGGTTTTCAGTAGTGGTCTAACATTAATCGATTCATGATCTGAATCAAAAACTTACTGATCTCCACAACCCCTATACTGATGATCAAATAATTAAAACAAATGAATATTTTGAATTAACATAATTTTCTTCATAAGAAAATTATTATCAGAATGTAATGATAAGTTTATACATTGAAAATGATGAGTAAAACTAATTCATTAAAAAAAATCAGAATCAAAATTCTTACCAATTAAATGAGGAAATAAAATAAACAAATACCTTGATTATAACAAATAACAGTTATATAATATACCCTTGTGGGCCAGGCTAATTTTACATTGGTTTTTCAGGAGAACCAGATACCATCCGGACTTTCACATGAAAACCCAAACAGTACAGCTCAACCCAGTTTAGCAGGGGAGCCAGACACCATATAGGCTTTAACGCTACAATCTGAATAGTACAGCTCAATCCTGTGGCGCAACCATCCAGGTACCAAGTACCCTGGTGGACCATATAAAAAATAAACCATCATAAAAACAACAACAATAATAATAATAAATTATCTCAATTTCAAAAAGAAAAAAATCAATATTTTTTTCTCGAAAATGCTTTTTTTCCTTTTTGCTTCTTCTTTTTTTCTTTTCTTTACCTTTTCCTTTAATGACAAAGGTATATAATTAAAAGAAAATTAATTTGATCGGAATGGCTTAATAGTAATTATAATCGAATGGTAAATAATATTCATTTAAACATATTTTAAAATCCCGCTTTATTTTGTTTAAAATTTAATTATTCCAATATTATGAACGTTTTAATTTGTTTTAATAATTATAATCATATATCCTTATTAATATAATCAATTTATTGATTTTTTTGATTAAGATCATAAATCAATCAATGTTAGATCAACATTTTAAACAACAACAAAAAAACAACAACGTGGAAATATTGATTAGTCATTTCATTTCAATATAGAACTCTTTAATCCCATATTTTCAATAATGATCTAATATTGATTGATCAATTCATGATCACAACCTGATATTACTCAAGATCAATTGAATGAATTAATTTTGGATATTCATTTATGAATGATGAATGGAAATAGAATCTTTAAATTATGAAAAATATTTCATTTATAGATTGTTTACATTCAATTTCTTATCATTTCATTGAATTATTCATTCATTAAATGATTATTTCATTCATTTATAAAAATCTAATTGAATCATTTTCAAACTGTTTTAATTTATACGTATCATTACTATGGTTTGAACTGATCATTTCGAATAAATTAGGCATTGAATTCATCATTGTTAGTAGATATTTCAATAAGTAAAGAAATTAGATTTCCTAATGTTTCGTAACTTAGTGTTAGTGACTTCTTCAAAGTAAATAAACAATCAAATCATAATTCATACAAGTTTAAAGAGTAAACATTGAACAATACAAGAATATATTATCTTTATGTTTTTTTTTAAAATTTCTTCTCTGAAGAAATGGCTTACTTTGAGTGACGAAACATCAGATCATTTATAATTTTTTCCTAATCAATGAAATATTTACAATTACATTTATATTTTAATTTATATATTTTCTTGTTTTATTAATTGTTCATTTAATTTGATTTGATCAATATCATATTGATCAGGATCATGATTAGGATGAATAATTTGATCATTAAATTTTAAATCATTATTATTTATTGATTGTATATAATTCATATATTTTTTACGATTAAATTTTTTATTCATATTCATTTTTAAATTGGAATTTATTGATTTCCAATTATTTGATTGAATGATTTTTTTAATATTTTTATCATTAATTAATAATGAATTATTATTATTATTATTATTATTATTGAATATTGAATCAATAAAATTTGAATTCGAATTTAATTGATTTTTATATTGATTTTTAATTTGATTATTTAATTTGATATTTTTCCATTTATTCCAATAATTATAATAATAATAATGATAATAATAATAAGAGGATGAAGATAGAGATGATGATGATGATTTGATTGTATTAAATTTTGGTAAATCTTTTTTTAATATTCTTGTCCATAATTTTGTTAAATTATTTTTACCCGGTTTACGTATTAATGAAAAATATTTAATATTATCATTATGACGTGATCGTATATGTAATTTTAATGATGATCCTTGAGTGAATGTTACACCACAAGCAGAACATGAATAAGGTTTATCACCTATTAAAAAAAGAAGAAGAGAAACAAAACAGAAGAATGAAACTGAGAAATGTTATTTCTTTTTTAAATATAAAAGAGTGATAATACTATCAGAAGGGGGCTGGGTTGTGGATATTAATAGTAATTTTAATAGTTGAGATCACGAGTCATTTGAAGCTGGATCACCATGGAAAATCTGGAAGCATTGAACTCCACTGAGAGATTATAACTCACTGAAGACATCAGTGGATGGTGGAATAATTTCGTGGATTGGTTGAAGTTAGATGGTGGTCGGAGGTAGTCGACAGGAAACCACACATTGCAACATGGTCGATAGCATTCAATCTGCACTAATAAGGACTAGACACGCAATCTAGTATGATTACATCTCAGTCCTACAGGAGGTTGGTCGTGCATCGGATAGCTCAGTGGTAACGTCTCTGACTGTGAAGCTGGGTGACACGGGATAGAATCCGCCAGGGAGCACCATTTCCCTCAAGATTACAGGTACACCTTGCTGACGAGTGCCAAGTAGCACGAAACCCGTTTCCAGGGTTTCCTGTTGACTACCTCCAACCACCATCTAAATCTCAATACATAGTGCCCGCAGTGTCGAGTCACCTAGACTGGTGGCCACATTGCAACATGATCGATAGCATTCGATCTGCACTAATAAGGACTAGACACGCAATAAATTGTGGCTGAAGTTAGACATTAACACCATTGCATACCGACTCAGTGGTCTAGTGATTAAGCGCTCACACGCGAGACTAATAGGTCCCGTGTTTGAATCTCATGAGACAAGGTCGTGGATGCGCACTGCTGAGTCCCACAATAGGACGAAACGGCCATCCAGTGCTTCCGGATTTTCCATAGTGGTCTAGCTTCAATTGACTCATGATCTCAGCTATTAAAATGGTAATACTATTTGTTGACCTAATAATTAAATACGTTTAAATATAAATTTTATAAGAAATTAAAGTTAATTAGATGAATAGTTTTGATGGAGATTACTTTAAAGCTAATAAGACATGAGTATTTGTTTTGTTTAAGTTTAAGGTTCTTCAACAGTGAGTAATCACTGACTGATGAAAAACATTTAGGTTTAGTGGTGAATAAGACAAGTCTATATGATCAATTACAATCAATGCATAATATAGTATAACATTCATCTTCTACCACCAATGATCTTTGTCTTACTTTCAACACAGTTGAACTCACAATTAATTGATCACTGTGTAGTGACCATTGACATGTTTGACTAGTTCTTTAATGCTAATCACATTTAATTGATCAAACTGCAATATGGCATTGTAACTTGAAATCACATGAAATATGCTGAGATATTAAGTGGTTTGAAATTGTTGACATGATACCCAACAAGGTGCATCATTTCCTTTTAAACTCCAAGTAAACTTTTACAAAAATATGTAAACTAATACTAAACTTACCACTGAAGTTACTTATCAACTATCTTCGAGTGTTTAGTAAAATCGAATTCAATCAGTCACAATATTTCATATATAATAAAAAAAAACTAACTTCAAAATAGAAATTAATTAAAAAGGAATCTCAAAACTACCAAAAATAAACAGTTACACATCATAACTGATTTATTTTTAGATTGTCGATTGTCGATAAACATTTATTTATTCTGAGCGTTTGAGATCATGAGTCAATTGAAGCTAGATCATCATGAAAAAACATGGAAACAATGGATGGCTGTTTCGTCCCATTGTGGGACTCAGCAGTGCGCATCCACGATTCCACCTAGCAAGATTCTAAGACAAGACCTATCAATCTTTTTCAAGCGAATGCTCAACCTCTAGACCACTGATCCGTCAGCCAATGGTGTTAATGTCCAACTTCAACCAATCCATGAAATTAAGCGACACATTCACTGTTGTGTTCATTGAGTTACTATAATATCCACAAAAACCTTTCTGATATTTATTTATTATTTACTGATTCTAGCAAAACTAGTAAATTCCTTAATATTATCATTTAACTATCACGAATAATGAAAAGAAATTTAAAACAAAACAAAATGATAAAAGGACAGAGAGATAAATGAACTACACAAACAAGAGAGTGAGAGGTCAGATATTACTAAGAGAGAAAAGAACAACTTCAAAGATATTTTATACGGAAATCCGTATATATATATACGTCAGTTTACACTTTGAATATATATATACATATCAGTTTAATTGTTTTCTATTCGTTTCCTTTAAAGGTACAAATAAAACAAACAATAATAGGTCATATTATTAGAAGAGAGTATAGATTAATGTTTTATTAGTAAGCAAAGAAGGTAAATCTTTATTTATTTGTGATACCCTTTTATTGAAAATTATTATTAACGTTAGTTACTTCTATCCATGATAGCGATAATGAAAATGAATAAGAGAAGAATAAAGAATACTTGAGTAAATCACTCATTTTTATCAAGAAATAACTTTGATAATCAATGAATTGTTATCAGAATGGGGGTTTCTGGAAACCATAGTAATTGTAATAGCTGAATTCATGAGTCGATTTAAGCGAGAACACCATGAAAAATGTAGAACCACTAGACAGACGTTTCATCCTGGTATAAGACTCTTCATCTATACGCATCCACGATGCTACACGTGATTCAACAGAACCTTCAGTCTCGCACGCGAACTTTTGAACTCTAGACCATTGAGCCGGCCGGTATCCAACGGTGTTAATGTCTAACTACAACCAATCTACGATGTTGAGTGAACCGTCCACAATTGTCTTCAGTGAATGACTGCCTTACAACAGACAGTTAATCTCTGCTGGTCACGACTTCTCACCAGAACTTCAGGAAATACATCTTGAAGCCGTGACTAGTGGAGTTTAACCGTATCTGCTGTGACGCAATTACTGAAGACAATGATGGATGGTCGCGCACTATCATGCATTAGTTCAAGTTAGAAACCAACCCAATTGGATGCCGGTTCATTGGTCTACAGGTTAAGCTAAAAGTCTTTGGTTGGAGCCCCTCTGGTATGGGATCGTGGATGAGCACTAATGAGGAGTTCCATACTAGAACGAAACGGTCGTCCAGTAATTCCAGGTTTTCAATGATGTTATAGCTATAATTGACTCATGAGAATTCAACCATTAAATCAATGAAATGCTTATAGAATTTCATTCTACTCATAGTTATTCTTTTTGAATTATAATGACATCATAGTTTTGTTTAACGTTGAAGAAATTAACTACATAGAAGATGAATCCAGTAAAAACATATTAAAAGTAAGTAAGTAATGATTATTATCAAAATTTAATGTACATTAATGTGTCTTTCTTGATTTATTCTTCATATACAGACCATAATACAATGGATTACAATGTGAATAGATTATTTTTGACGAATTTGTTTCCTAAATATATAACAGCCATCCAATGCTTCCAAGTTTTCCATGGTGGTCTAACTTCAATTGACTCATGATCTCAACTATTAAAAATTACTATAATCTCCACAACCCTACCACCACCACCACCACCACCACTCTCTAAATATATAACTGTTTTCAATGTAATAAAATTTATTAATTTGAAACATACACCTAAAAAAAAGAAAATGAATTATGGTTATCGAATAGAGACTACGAATGTATGAGCAATAATAAGGATAATGATAATCATATTGGCTTATTGGTAGACTTTCCAACATAATACTAATATGTTATTTATCGCTTACTTAACTAGTGATTAAGATTCACAATTGAATGTATTGCCCTTTTTTACCATTACTATTACGAGTATACACATATATGCATTGTCTTAATATATCTAGACACATAAAAATAGAAGTCAACTTGACTTGACATCAATGAACAAAATGGTGTTTTTCAAAGCTCAGCTAACAACAACAACAACAACAACAAAAGAAAATAGATTAATATGCTACAAGAAATATTTTAAAATTAAGTCATTATGTTGGATGAGATGGTAAACTTGAAAAAAAGGATAGAAGGAATTAAATAATCGTTTATTCATGATCATATAAGTCAATACTACTACTACTACTACCACTACTACTACTACTACTACTACTACTACTACTACTATAATAATAATAATAATAATAATAATAATAATAAGAAGAAGAAGAAGAAGAAGAAGAGGGAGTAAACAATCATTGTGTAAATAAAGAAATAAATAAACAAAACATTAAAGTAATTTGTGTGTGTGTATGTGTTGCACATATATATTCAATCCCTTTCTTTCAACCATATAGATAATATTATATAGATCTTTATGAGTCATGAAGTATTCCAAGAATATAGAAGATATTTGTGTAGGAAAAAAGTTATCAAAAGTTATTTACAGATAAACTTCATATTAAAACTTTCTACATTATTTCACATCGATTCAAGTTGAAAAACATTCTATAGTATAATGCTGAACAAGTACTACATACCTGTTAGGTTTGGTTATGGTGTTTGTAAAAGTATTCCAAGGTATTTCATCTACTTAATGTTTACATTTAAATCATTCTAAGCATTAAAGATGAATGAATCCGAAGTTGTAGATTTATAGTTCAAGCTTGTTAATAGAGATTATGATGGCATCTTTGTAATCTTGATACAAAGTATACTATATATATAAGATTTAAACCTTAGTTTATCTGAGATTTTAATACTGAGTCATAGTAACAGGAGAATGATCTATTTTCAAGAGTACATGTTAGATATTATGGCCACTGCAGCCTCAATAACTAGATGGGAACTTTTAAAATTGTGAAGCTATGTGACTTTTGTTGAAATTACATAGATAGCATGAATTGTTTTAGTGTTACAGATCTATTTTGCTGACGAGTGCTGTGTACCATAAAACCTAGACCAAACAGGGTTTTCTCCTGAATACTTTCAATCATTTAACATTTTAATGGAAAAAGTACATTGGTAATTGATATATATATATCCCTTCTGCAACTTGTGAAACATACACTAGAAAACATACTGCATTTCACTTTTTTGTATTTATAAAATTTAATCTACTTA